CTTCTAATCTTGCTGTATCTCAAATTCCTTATTTGAAAAATGGGAAGGATGATTACCTCTACTTGCAATATTTTGTGATGATTAGAAATGTTAGACTAAAAATATATATAAAAAGTTCTGTCAGGTGGAAGAACATAGTAGGTGGGGAATAAATGAATCATTTTGGGGGACTATTCTGATTTGTAATTTTTTTTAACAATCTCCAACTTTGTGCTTTTTCTTCACTTCGTCCTTCCACTCCCCCATCGCCCCCTTCTTCTGTTGCTGCTACCACTATTACTACAAGGTACTACCATTTTCTGTAGTAGACACTACTCATTGGCTTATCCAACAAACGCTTGACACCTCTTTACCTTTTCAGTTTCCTTTGTAGAGGCTGAAAAGGCTAAACACATACTTTCTCATACTTTCTTGCAGCTACATTAGACAGTTTTGGCTAATGAGACATAAGGGCAATTCTTATGGGATTCTGAGAAGACCTTTATTTTCCCTAATAAAAGGATGCAATGCATCAATGCATGGAGCTATGATAGCTATCTTGCAACTATTAGTAAAGGCCTAGAGAATGGCAGAGATGTTGACCCAGTGAGCCTCTGAGGAACACCAGGAGGAGTTTCCCTCTATACCTCTTGTAGCATGAAGAAAATCAAACTCAAACAGTATTAGCCTCTGGAAATAGGCTTTCTGGTACTATCAGCCAAACACAATTCTAAAAGGTTTAATTACCATTTATTGAGTGCTTTCTATGTGCTGATAATAAGCATTTAGTATATATTACCTCATTTACTCCTCAAAACAGGTAATATTACCTACCATTTTACAGTAAGAAACAGACTAAAATACCTTATTCAAATTCACATAGCTGGATTTAAATCCAGGTGTGGTTCCAAAGCCAGAACTATAAACTCGTATGCTGTATTTATATTTACTGTCTATGTGAAATTTCCAAGAGTGTATGCTAACCTTTGGAAACAGTCACTGTGGCATTAAGAGACATTATAACATTCTTCACTCTAAGGTATACAATTAACATCATCTTTAAAATGGAGAGCCGTTGCTGTCTGTCATTAGATGTGGAAGGGAAATGCATAGGCCTTATCTAAAAATAGAGCCCAGACCCAGTCTGGGTTTCCAGCAACCTGCTTCGCCGTACACCAGACGGAAGACAGCAGAATAAGGTTGGGCCCAGCATAGTAGTTGCTTCTCCCCAGAGACCTTCATCCAGAGATGGAAGTTACCTATCTTAACTTATGAGATGTGCTCATTGACATATTACAGAGTCCAAGCCTGAGAAACACAATTAATGGCAGTAATTTAGAATAAAATGTGAAAATATTAGAAATACCCAAGTTCATTTATTCCCATTATGTAAGTTCCAGTGTGACAATGTGATACACAATGGCCTTTATAAAATTACAAATTTGAAAGCAAGATAAGTTACTGCATAACTAGTTATATCCTATAATGTGACAAATACTGTATTAGTGTTCTGAACATCTTGACTTTATACCACAGAGAAGAAACATTTAGTTTAGGAGCTCATGGAGGCCATAGAGGAAAGGATTTTAGTCAGCATTTCTCTCTGAGGATGATGGCTTAAAAGAGGGAGCAGGTATGGGATGTATGTGATGCAGGAGAAGTATAGCTTTCTTTGCCCTTTTTTCTTTTCCATATTAAAGGCAGTTTTCAGCCTGAATAACCTAGTTGGTGGAAAAAAAAAGTCTCTATATAATCAAACTGTGGCCTGTCTCAGCTATAATCATGTAGACAGACCAAAATCTGCCAAGATTGCATAAAGAAAACCCAGAGATTCCAAAGGTCTTCCTTCACCCACTTTGAGGTTCTAATACTCAAATGTATTGACTATAAGATCCAATCATCAAGAGCTACGTGGCCCTGTAGGGAAAGCAAGTTAAAATGTTGCAACAAAATGCTTAGAATTTCTGTTTTCTGTTGCCAGTATCAGTGTTTTTGTTTGTCCCTTTGTTTATTAAAGTAGAAATAAAATAGTTGACAATATCAATCAAATGGTACTAGAGAAACATTAAAACTATAGCCAGACACAAGATCAATGGATGGGATCAATGACCCAATTCCCAAGCAGAGACTGATGACTATAGGAGTGTGAGGGATAATTGTAATACAGGGTGCTGTAGACTTAATCTCGTGAAAGATAATAGCACTGGTGGGGAGTAGGAGAGTGCATACTTGGAGATGAGCAAAAAAAATCTACCATATCACTACCTTCCCCTCACAACAAATCATTATTGAGTGTCTTCGGTGTGCC